GATTTGGGCTGCTAACTAAAAGACTGGCAGTTCAAACACGCTGTCACTATATGGAGAACTATGTGGCAATCTACCTCCATAATGATTTAAAGCCTTGGAAACTCTATGAGGCAGGTAGTTCTAGTCTATTTAACAGAGGTACTGTGAGTCAGAATCCACTCAACAGCAGAGTGGTTGGTTTGGTTTGAATGCAGTAGACAAAACCTTGAGAAGAAATAAATGCATCTTTAGAGTAAATTCTTTACCTAGAAATGTACTTAGTTAGCATTTGACCCTTGAACTATTTTTTTTTTTTTTAATTGGTGATATAATACAGACATTACATAGTTTGACTAGCTTTGGGAAAGAAAATGCTCCTCCTGCCTCCTAACTTTTTTCTCTGGTGACATCATTTCTTTGAGTTGGTGGTGTTACAGTGGCAATTGTTCCAACAATGGTGCCTAATTTGACTTTTCTTGACATACATTGTTGGGAAATAGAAAGAGACATGCATTAGCATCACTTTGACTGTGCTGAGAAAAATGTCAAGTCCCAATGATGAAAGGAAATCATTTACAAACTTGAAAAATGACTGGAATTTCAATAGAGAGAAAACAGAAAAGAATATAAAGGAAAACACATTTATATTCAAAATAAGTACAGAAGAACATATGTGAGTAAACTATTTTTTCTCCATTCTCATTATACTGCATAAATATGTGATATTTGTTGAAATTTTAAAAAATTCTGTCCTAAGGAAGCATGTTAACAAGCAGCTAATTTTAAAGACACTTTTCTATGAATTCTGTTGGTGAAGGTACCTTATCTTGGGATGAAGAGAGCAGTAAATTTGAGGAGGACCTGCTTGCCTGCTAGATGGGATGGCGTAGTCTAGAAAATTAAGATGAAATTCAAGAGTTTTTTGTTTTGTTTTGTTTCGTTTTTAATAATTGTCCTAACCTTTTGGAGAATTACTGGTGTGGCGCATTAGGATAAGCACTTGACCACAAGGTTAGTTTGAACCATAAGGTTGATGGTTCAAACTCACCAGCCACTCCTCAGAAACCCTATATAGTGTTGTTATGGATCAGAATAGACTAGATGGCACTTAACAACAACAATGACATTGCAGGATTACACACTAAAAATAAAAAGGAAGACTCCACAATTACCTATAGAGAAAAACAGTAAAATATGATTAAGGATCAAGTGGTTTGGTTTCTAAAAAGAACATCATGGAAGGAGGAATCCAAGAGATGATTAAAATTCGTTCTCTTAGTTTACAGGTAAGAAATATATGAATCAAATATGAACAAGTTTGCAGAGCAAAACACAAGTGAGGACTGGATATTCTAGTACCCATTTTTCTTATATTACAACTAGCTGAAATTTCAGTATCACCAATCACGATGAAAAGATTAAGAAATATTTTGCTTCCTATAGAAATATGTGAGCTGGTAAGTTGATTACTTGGAGACATATAATTAACCAAGATCGATAAAGTGGAGAAAGTGATGGGCTGCCAACCGAAAGACTAGCAATTCGAATTTGTCATGTGAATGCTCACCATTTCTTGCTTTTTTTGCTCATGTGTGTAAAGGAGATCTGGTGGCACTGTGGGATGAGCACTGGACTGTTAACCACAAGATGGACACTTCAAACCCACCAGTCACTCCACAGGAGAAGGATGAGACTTTCAGCACTTGTAAAGATTTAGCGCTTCGGAAACCCTATACAGGGTCGGTATGAGTCAGAATTGACTTACGGACAGTGGGTTTTGGAGTTTTCCATCTATATTTAAGAATCCTACAGTGATTCGATTTGTGCTGTTTCATAGAGACTTTCACCTAACTTTTACTTCTATGTTTCCATTTATACATTTAATTTTGAGTGACTAAAATGTGGGTGATGTTCAAAATTTAGTAGGTTCCCTGATTTTATGAAAAATATTCAGTAGTGTTTGTGTTTGGGATTATGGGATCCAGGCTTAATGTTAAAGTCATCCTCTTGCTTCAGTTTTTCACTTCTGAGGGACAGTTTAGTGAAGAATCCTGGTGTGGCACTGTAGTGTAAGCACTGGACTGCAAGGCAGGTATGAACTGCAAGGTGAATGGTTCAAATTCACCAGCTGCTCCTTGGAAACGCTGTACAGGGTCACTATCGGAACCAACTTGATGGCACTTAACAACCACAACAATAGTGAAATTGTGATAAACTCAGGCATTTGGAGTCTTAAACTTCAGATGTTAACCCCACCCCCCCTTTGCTATTTTTGTTGTTGTTAAGTGCCATCGAGTCGGATCTGACCCATAGTGACCCTGTACAGGGTTTCCGAGACTTTAAATCTTTACGGGAGCAGAACGCCTCATCTTTCTCCCGCGGAGCAGCTGGTAGTTTCGAACTGCTGGCCTATTTGTGTTATTATCTACAAATTCCTTAATCTCTATAAATTAAGAGCAATTTTAAGTTGTTTTTGTTGGTATGTGTTAACCTTAAGAAATGCTGTGGCCATCTGTGCACTATTTTATCATTTTAAAATCTCTTTCTCTTCATTACTGACATAGACTCTTTGAACCAGTCTCTGAATTATATGGGACAGGGTATGTTTCACTCGGTTTCAGATAAATAAAAAAACCATTTTAGAATGACATGGCAAAGATAAAATTAAAAGTCAGTGACTGAATTAAGAAACACTACCAGGGATCCTCTGCCACTGAAAAACAAGTATTCAATGTTTTTACTGGTAATTTATGGTAAGTAATATATGGTAGTCAAGTGACTATGTCTGTGAGACAGTTGAATTAAGAAGGATTGTCAAGTAGGGAAATTGACATTAGCTGTCTGTAGCTTTCTGAAACAGCACAGAGATTCAGTAACTTTCTGCTAATTTAATTCTAGTTCTTAATATTCCATTCTATTGTATTGTGATTATTCACTGCATTAGTAGCAATGATAAATTAATCAGTAACAGAGAGAGTGAGGAGATGTTTTAAGTAGGATCTGGTTGAGAAATCAAAGAAGAAACTATAAAACTGAAGACAACATGTGTACTTCCAGTGAAAATTAACTGTGGAATGTTTACGGAAAGTCTTGAACCTGTTTGATGGGACATTTAGTAAGTGTCTTCTTTTCAACATCCTAATTCTAACAGTTGAAGTTTACATCAGGTTTGGCCACATCCTATTATGACAGTTCTAGTCTATATAATAAACTCTTGGTTTTATATACTTTTTGTTAATTAATTAGAGTGCGACACTTCTCTATCTTAATTTCCTTAACTTGTAATTAATGTTTACCATTGGTGAAAGAAGAGGTTCAACTAATGGATTGAGAATTACTTTTTAAATTCTTTTTAAGTGGTATTTTGTTTGTATGCTCAGATTCTGGCTTACTTAATAGTTTTCACTAAGATTTAGATAATAGTATTTACCATTACTTATCTCTCTAGATTTATAAGTGAAGTTCATATTCTGTTATTATTTGAATGTCACAAAGATTATATTTAAAAACAAGACAAAATTTCCCAGTTTACTTAAACTCAAACAGATAAAATGATTGGGACCCAACATAAAAGCTTATTGTAGTACAATGCAAAGAATGCATCATATATCACAACTGTTATTAACTTATACATCCCATTCTCTGGATCAATTAGTCACTGTCTGGACAGTTCATGGTTTTGGCCACAAAGACTGAATTAGAAAATTATGGAGAAAATAAAATGCCTCCTAATTAGAAAGCTAAAAGCTATGCTTCAGAACCAACTTGACGGCACTTCTTAACAATTACATACTGTGTTAAGAATAAAACTTTGATATAAAACTCTCTTTTGCTTAGCTGTTTTAAGAGGTTTACATATAAATGTATTTAGTGGCTCACTCAAATTCATTGTTTTCCTTAGTTTAACATAAGACTAAACACCTTGTAGATTATTATGTCAGCATACATTTCTCACTAAGTCATTAACAAAATAAACAAAAGAAAATAGATAACATCAAAATATTACAAAAACATTTATGTAATCCTATTAATTTACAAAATCCTATTGAAGACCTTCAAGAAGGTGGCACCGTGACAGCATCAATGTGCTCGAGTGTAACAACAATTGTGAGAATGGCTCAATACTAGACAATCTTTCATTTTGTTGTGCACAGAGTCACTATGAGTTGGAACCAACTTTATGCCACTTAACAACAAATGAAAGGAAAGTCTGTTATTTATAAATATTTGTCTATAGATTAGCCAATGTTGTTAGGTGCTGTGGAGTTGGTTCCAACTCCTATCAACCCTATGCACAACAGAAGGAAACTCTGCCTGGTCCTATTTTATCTTCACAATTGTTACATCCTCAAATATTGTTACATTTGAACCAAGGTTTTGCTACTGTGTCAGTGGGGATCTTCCTCTTTGTCACTGACCCTCTACTTTACCAAGCGTGATGTTTTTCTCTAGAGACAGCCCCTCCTGTGAATATGACCTTAGTGTAAGAGACAACAACAAAGGATTAAAAGAGGTCTGGTCTAACGCTGTAAATCAGCACTGGACTGCTAATCTGAAGGTCACTGGTTCAAACTCTCACAAATCCTACACATGGTTGCTACGGGTTGCAACTGACTCTACAGCATTTAAAAGCCACAGCAACAACAGCAGAGGATGAGTTATTTTCATTTCAAATCCTATGATATATTTAATTAGGTTTTTGAAATAGACTTAACTAAAAATAAAAATTTTTAAATGTTGATTTAATTAACGATGATCATGTCTATACAGGTTTGGATGAATTACAGCTTTTTGGAAGATGTAATGAAAACCATCTAGTATGTGTCCACACAGGGTATTATTCAAGAGCCATTTTAATTGAACATCTGAATTTTATTTTCTCAGGCACGTGAAAGAAGATAAGTAACGAAGATAGTTTCTTGACTAGAATATGATCATCACTTTTCTCAAGAAACACTATTAAATATGCATTTATGAATTATGTCTTTCAAGTGATGTACATATTCTGTGTATACTAGACTATGGGAAAAAACAATAATGTCACTGTATTTATTCTCTTGGGATTTTCTCAAAGCAAAAATATTGAAATCTTCTTCTTTGCCTTATTTTTGTTTTGCTATATTTCTATTTGGATAGGAAACTTGCTCATCATAATTTCTATCACATGCAGTCATCTAATAAACCAACCCATGTATTTATTCCTTAATTATCTCTCTGTGTCTGACCTCTGCTACACATCCACTGTGACACCCAAACTAATGACGGACTTGTTGACAGAAATGAAGACCATTTCCTATAATACTTGCATGACCCAGCTGTTTTCCACACATTTCTTTGGAGGCATTGAGATCTTTATCCTCACAGGGATGGCCTATGACCGCTATGTGGCCATCTGCAAGCCCCTACACTACACTGTCATCATGAGCAGGCATAGATGTAACACAATCATCCTGGCTTGTTGTACTGGAGGATTCATACATTCTGCAAGTCAGTTTCTTCTCACCATCTTCTTACCCTTCTGTGGCCCCAATGTGATAGATCATTACTTCTGTGATGTGTATCCTTTGCTGAAACTGGCCTGCACTAATACACATATAATAGGTATTTTAGTCATTGTTAATTCAGGCCTAATTGCTTTGGTGACTTTTCTTGTCTTGATGTTGTCTTATTTTTATATATTGTACACCCTCAGAGCATATTCCGTAGAGAGCCGAAACAAAGCTCTTTCTACTTGCAGCTCTCACATAACAGTGGTGGTCCTCTTTTTTGTACCTGCATTATTCATTTATATTAGGCCAGACACAACTTTTCCAGAGGATAAAGTTCTTGCTCTTTTCTACACCATTATTGCTCCTATGTTCAATCCTCTGATCTATACTTTGAGAAATATGGAGATGAAGAATGCTATGAGGAAAGTTTGGTGCCATCAAATGCTGTTGGAAGGAAAGTAATTTTTCAGAGTTTTCACTTCTCAGGCAGAGTCTTCTGAAAGCACAATTATGAATAAGCTCCCCTCTCATCAGCTATCCTGAGCCCGACAGAATCTCCAGACAGAAAGTAGGAAACAGGAGATGCATCCTCTCTACTGTTTAATACTTTATGATACATCCTCAATAGATAAAGCTTTATTATAATATACACTCTCCTGAGTCCTGGTGTGGTGCTGCGGGTTAATGTACTGGACTGCAAGGTAAACTTGAAATGCAAGGTCAGTGGTTCAAGCTCACCAGCCACTCCTTGGAAACCCTATACAGGATCACTATGGGTTGGAACCAACTTGAGGGTACTTAACAACAACATCTGAATCAGTCTTAAATGCTATGCTATAGGATATGGAGTCCTGGTGTGGCACAGTGGACTAGTGCATCAGACTGCAAAGTCATTTGAACTGCAAGGTCAGTGGTTCAAGCTCACCAACTGTTCCTTGGAAACCTTATACAGGGTTGCTATGGGTCAGAATCAACTCAACGGCACTTAACAACAACATATGAGATGAAATAACTAATTTATTAACAAAGTATTATACCACTTATATGATGTTGCATTGAAAGAGATTATGTACTTTTTCAAGCACTAAACAATATGACTAAAACATTGCATTTCAATTGTTTAAACATTTAATCGGATTATGTCTATAGAAAATTTCACATGTAATATATGTTTATCTCTCTTGAAGTCCTATTGTGGTACTGTAGGATAAGCACTGGCCTGCTAGTTACAAGGTCAGTGGTTTAAATCCACCAGTCATGCCTTGGAAATCCTATGAGCCAGAAATGATTGGACAACACTTAACAACCACAACACATCTCACTAATATTCACAAGCTGAATATTATCATATAATTAGAATCCAGATCAGAAGCCATAAATTAGCAGCTAGAAGTTGTTCTCATCCCTCTTTATAATCATTGCCTCCCAAAGACAGCTACTGTCTTAATTTCTAAGATCACAAATTAATTTTCTGGTTTTGTACTATTTTTGGCAATGTAATATTTCAGTTTGTACACTTTTTTTGTCTGACTTTTTGTCATTAGTTTTATGACATTGACTCTTAATGTTTTGTGTATTTTCTGTAAACTTATTTTTATTGATGTATAGATCACATTTTATGATAACATGACAATTTATTATTTTTCTTGTATATAACTCATACTGCTGTAATTTTCAGCATGAATTTTGGTGAGTGCATGTATTCTATTTTTCTGTTAAGCGTATTTCATTTGTAAAAAAGACTTAAATATTTTATACAATTGTTGTTTTCTTGATTTGGTACTCTTCTTGAACATATTACTAACATAAAATAAAATATATGAAGAAAAAACAAAATTTATTAGTAGGAAACTGCTATGAGGAAGAGTGGAGGGAAAAGGCTTATATATCTGTGAAACATTTCGTACTTGTAAGATCCAGATAGGCTATGGCATAGTCTGATTAATTACAACCAACTTGTCAATCAATTACACAGAAGTTCCTCGGTGGGAAGGTGTGGGAATAGAGTGGCAATTTCTAAGAGAGACAGTTTACTCAATTGAGCTTAGAAAAAATGCCAATTATTAGAGCATCAGGGTACATTAACAAAATTAACACATTAGAATCACTGATAGGAAATATTATCAAATAGGCTCCATACTTTTAGCATATGAAGTTGTTTGGCATTTTAAGTAAACCTGGGTGTGTTACATGTTTTCCTAAGAAAGAAAAATATATTTCAGGGTAATGAGGCGAGATAAAGAAGACATTTTATGAATTCAGTTTATTATTGGATTTTATATGCACACATACACACATGCACACACATCATAGATAATAAAATCTTTCTTGGTGTCTCTATTCCTGTTATAATTGCAGGCATAACCATGCTCAGGTTGATAAAATAAAGGGAAACAGATTTTATTTTTGTCCAAAAATATTTGTTCTCACAATAAAAAATTTAAAAAAAAACTAAATGTAGGATAAAATTAGACTACAACTACCATATTAGAGAGCAAAACTCTATTTATTACACTTATCACAAATGAACTATAGTATGAATATGTTTATTGGATAAATTATACTTTTGAAGACAGTAAAGGATAGAGTCTCAAAATTGTCCAGTTTGTTAACAAATTAACTTAAATACTGGATTATTTTTCTTTTAAAGAAATTCAATAGATTTACAAGAGCAAAACCCAAAGAACCAGGAAACTGAAAATTTAGGTACAGGTAATTTACTCAGAACACAAAATAGAGAGATATGAAGGTCTTTAAATTAAAAAAAAAGCAACCTAAAGAGACATTGGGAATGGAGTCGAAATGAGTAGCATATTCTATCACGTTCTCAGATTTTGGAAAGAGTGAAAAGAGATTGTTTAAAGAGGCAATAACTATAAATTTTCCAGAAAGAATGGGGAAAAGCATTTAGAAAATAACTACATACAAAGATAAAGAGATGCTTTTAAAAGGAGCAGCAAACAGTCTTGTACTTTATCAAATGTACTATTTGTCAGTTGGGAAGGAGAGGGAAGAAAACTGGGGATCTGGCAAAGACAGGCAGAGTAGATTGTGTTAACAAAAAAGAGATATTTTCTCCACATCAAGATATTTGTCCAGGTAACAGGGATAAGTTAAAGGATCAGTATAGTAGATCTTGCTCAAAAGGCTGGGTTGGCATTAAATTCATTTAAGAATCATGCATTTTTTAGAGTGTGGTAAAAATATCACTTTAAAGTGAACTGTGATAGGTCAAGGATGAATTCTTGAAAACTATTATTTTAGAGAGTATAACTTCTTAAGTCTTATTATTGGTGTTAAGTGCCATAGAGTTGATTCTGACTCATAGTAATCCTGTGTAGAGTTTCCGAGGAATGGCTGGTGAGCTTCAACCATACACTTTGCAGTCCAGTGATTATCCTACAACACCACACCAGGACTCCTCTTATGCTTTGGTGCTGACTAAATATCTGCCTGCATACATCAGCATTTCTTTAAAAATGTGTCATGATAAAATATATATAACACAAAATTTGCAATTTTAATCATTATGCATATAATCTATTGGCATTGGGCACATCACAGTGTCTTATAATCATCAACACTACTTATTTCTAAAAATATTCATCACCTCCAATAGAAAGTCTACACCCATTCTACTTCCTCGCCTCCTTCCCCTCACTCTAGCTCTTGGTGTTTTGTGCTTTCAAGTCTGTTCTGACACAGTGACCCCGTTTAGGGTTTCAGAGGAGCGGCTGGTGGGCTTGATCACTGGCCTTGCAGTTAGCAGTTGAGTACTTACCCTACAGCACAATGATATAAAATAGGTAAACTGTCTGTCCTGATGATAAAGCTGCAGGTGAAAGCAAGGTCAATTTGGACTGCGAGGTCTGCAGTTTAAACCCACCAGTTGCTCCTCGGAAACCCTACATAGGGTCACTATGAGTTAGAATCAACTGGACATCACTTAACAACCACATATTTCACATAAGTGATTTTCCTTTTTCTTCTTTCTTATCTGACTTAGCATAATATTGTCAAGATTGATTCATGGCTTAATATAGTGGCTTAATATAAATATTCCTTTGTATGACTGGAAATGGTGGCATTTTCTCCTATACTTTTAATGCTGTGAGAAAAAAAAAAATCATGGTGATTAAATATTGCAATTTAAAATGGTCCCAGGTAATCAATGCTAGTTTATTTTGCAATTATCCAAAATAAAGTTTTTGCTGATTATACTATGAAAGTCTACAGCAGAATTTTATTTTTGTCTGTGGCATTGTAGAATAAACACATGACCTCAAGGTCGGTTTGAAACACAAGGTCAGTTTGAGTCACAAGGTGGCTGGTTCAAAGTCACCAATCACTCCTCAGAAACTCTACACAGTGTCACTTTGAGTTGGAATGGACTCAATGGTACTTAACAACTACAATCCTGGTATAGACCTATAGGATAAACATTGGACTGTTAACTAGAAACTTTGTTCAACCACACCAGCCACTCCTTTGAAATCCTATATAGGATGTCAATGAGTCGAAACCAACTAAAAGGTACTCTAAAAATCACAACAAACCAAGGTAGACTCCAAATGACACAGTGATAGCAACAATAGGTTCAAAAGAAGCAATAATTGTTAAGATGGTGCAGGACCAGGCATTGTGCATAGATTCTATTGTGCATAGATTTGCTGAGTTGGAATTGACTCGACAACACCTAACAACAGCAGTGGTGGGAGCCACCACTGTTGTACCAGTTTGTAGTATGGTGATGGCTTGAGTGTCGCTGTGATGCTGGAAGCTATAACATCAGTGGTTTAAATATCAGCAGGATCACCTGTGATGGACAGGTGTTAGTAGAACATCTGGACTAAGACAGACAAAGGGAAGGTAGACCATATTTTAATAGTTAGCCACTAAAAACTTAGGAATAGCAGCTGAACATTGTGAGATATAGTACAGGAATATGAGCCCCTTAGGAGGAAAGACACTCAAACAATTGTGGAAGGGCTGCCTCTTCAAATTAGAGTTGACCTTAATGACATTAAAGGAGAAATGCTTTTGATACATTCATTTGCTGATGGGACATAACTCTAATAAGAAGAAACAGCTTTTTATTTAATAAAAGGAACATGGAATGTATGAAATATGAATCTAGGAAAATAGGAAATTGTGAAGAATGAAATCAAAAGAAAAAGATTAATATCCTAGACATTAGTGGGCTTATACCGACTGGTACTGGCCATTTTGAACCAGGCAATCATTTGTCATTACTATGACTAGACTGTCAAATTGAAAAAGAATGACATCATGTTCATCATCAAAAAGAACATTTCAAGAAATAGTTTTAAATACAGTGCTGTCTATGATAGGAAAATATTGAGATGCCTACAAATAAGACCATTAAATACCTCTATTGTTCAAATTTAAGCACCAAGGACTAAAATCAGTGATGATGAAACTGAATAATTCTACCAATTTCT